AATAATAATAATAATAATAATAATAATAATAATAATAATAATATTGATAATAATAATAGTAATAATAATAATAATAATAAATAATTATTATTAATAATAATAATAACTAATAATAATATTAATAATTAATAATTAATAATAATAATAACTATAACTAATAATTGTAATTATTAATAGTAATAAAAAGTATAACAATAAGATTGATATGTATATATTACAAATATTGGGTTATACTAACAACATTACCTGCACTTTTTTCGGTGTTTCTCCATCATTTATACTACTTGAAGCCCTTTTTCTAAAACCTGATGGAGTTTTCATAGCGGCATCTGCAGAAGTTAGTGTTCTGATTCCACCTGGAAGAGAAGCTGTTAAAGATGAAATCGGAAGTGCACTGGAAGGAGGTATTTCGTCTACGGGTCTATTTCCATTCATTTCATCGAGCCACTCATTCATCTTGAGGTACAAATCACGCGCTCGCGGAGACAGTTGTATCCATGTTTTTGGTTTGGCTAAAAGCTCTGATACGCCACCTGGACTGACTCCCAAAATTACATCACCAAATGTCTGTAAAAAATCCAAGATGAACAATAAAAATATGATAAATTGAGATAAAAATTTGAAAAAATAACACCAAATAGTAAAAATTTAAGCGAAAAGCAAGAACAGTAATTGAAAAACAATGATGAAAAGAAGAAAGTACGACTTAAATAAGCATCAATTTAAAACACAAAAAACATCAAAATATTTTGCTATAATTGTGACACGAAATTTTGTGTATAAAAAATATGCAAATAAAGCTTTGAGCTCAAAAATGTTATTTTACTCATTTCGAAGGATAAAATATGTTGCATAGCTCAGTTACTGAGTTTTTCAAATTGTATTACAATAGAGGGAATGGAAGATAAAGGTAAAAAAGTGGCATAGGGAGTCATAACAGGGAAACAGATGAGGCTATAAAAAGTTTCGTGAATGGTTAGATAGAGCATTAATGTACCGGAATTAGGTACCACCAGAATGATTACGTTCGGAGCACTCATAGATGGAAATGAAGCTCCGCAGAGCAGGTGGCTTTGAGAGAAAGTCGGGAGGAAGATGACCATTTTGTTGTTCCCTGTATGACGAAAAGTTCTCGTGTGCAATTAATTACCTTTAAAATCTGAAAAAGCAAGCACATTCTGCGATCACTAGTATTGCAGAACGTAAGTGCTCACAGCAACGATTCTTGGGGAAATATCAAAGCGTGACGCATACTTCGAGCAAAATACGCTACACGAGTCTAGGGCTTATCTAGATGTAAAGGAGAAATACCTGGTGCTATTGCAAAAAGTCCGAAAACGTGAGATAAACCAAAGTGAACACGGAAAAAACGTTGACTCGCTTATACTTAGAGCGATAGACCAAGCAACGCGTTAATATGCCACACAGAATTTCTCCAAATCAATGACCGATATTGCAAAGAGTTCTAAGCAGCACGACAAGGCAACAGAAGCATCGAGATGGAAGAGAAGCATAGAAAAGAAGTTTCGCAAAACCCCATGAAAAACCAGCTATACACAACGTGGTATGACTTAAAAAAGCGTTCCATTCAATTAATCATACATACGTAATTAAATGTGAAAGGCTCAACAGGTCAGCGTGGGTAGGCACGTTTTATGAGAGTATCACTTCTAAATGCACAGTACTGCTGATAATAGGGAAACCGTGATAGAAAAGAAAATACACTGAAGAATTCTTAAGGTGACATTCTTTCTCCGCTACAGTTTGCTTTATACATTGACCCGCTAAAATCAAAATGAGATACCGAAAGGTTGCAGTTCCCACCGATTAGGGAATGCACATAATGAACTATCTATTGTTTGCGGATGCTCTCAGGATCTTTGCGACCGACGAGGATATCATGAAATTTATAGCTGAAAAAGTTCAGAAGTTTCTTGGACCAAAAATAAACCACGAAAAAATACCGAGGTATGCGCTGATAAAGAGGCGCTATTGGAAGTAATTCAAGAGTATAGGTACCTTGGAATAGTGGAAGACAGGACTTATGCATCTACTCGTGAAAGCTACAATAAAGTGCGAGCAGACATATTATAGTGAGAGCAACTAGCCAAAACTGTTCTAAACGACAAGAACTTTATCAAGGCAGTAAACGAGCATGCCATAGGTTTAATGAACTATTGTACTGCGTTGCTCATACTAGAACCACAGAACTTTCAAGCAATTGGTCGTAATATCAAACAGTTACTAAACATGCCAAGGAACGAGCTAGAACGTGGTTTTTACTGTGTTGAACAAAGCAATGAGCTTATGCTTCTGCAGCTTCGTAATGCACTTATAGAAACCGAATATCGGAAAAGCGGCGATTTCGAAGCAGAAAAAGACTCACGATATGTACTTTGCAGTTCTTGTGTCCTACCTTCAAAGTAAATACAACTTTGTAGAAAATCCAATCGTTGAAACCATATTAGCAACCCAGAAGGAGTTCTTACGTAGCGAAATAAAAAAGAAAAACACATCATGCAAAGCTATACAAGATACAAAGGAAGAAGTTATGTTTAGTGGCTAATTCATTAATATGGTTACGATATAAAAACATTACTCCACACGATGAAGCAGGGTCATTTCTCAGCTCTTAACATTTCTATTTTAGAGTTATCATTACTGCTTATCTCCGTCTGGGACTCCGCAAAAAGTATGGTTTGAAAGTATTCTTACGCATGCGAAGCCATACTGTTCAGGAGGTCGTCATTAATGAGAACGGGGAGATTAGATTCGACATGCCGTCACAACAACAATACAGCTAGGTGCGAATCCAGCACGAAAGAGGCGACGAAAGTAATCAGAATAGAGGTTAGAAACTGAAAACGAAATAAAAACGAGCTTTCTGCGAAATTCCGCAGCTGCGGCTGAAAGCAGTCCAAACAGATAATTCCTGCTGGGATCTCAAGTCTTTTCATAAACGTTAAGAGAAGAAATTAGTGTATCTAATCACGGCATATCCGATAGTGCTCAAGAAGATACTCGAAAAGGAACGCATATCATTCAATCATCGTCGAAGATTTCTCAAGGATGATGCAGCGGAGATTAGAACAGCAGATTTGAGCATGAATCGAGCGCAGAACACGATCCAGCGCAGAATCAATAAAAAAAAAAGGCTAGCCTCCGTGTGATATTGATTTCAATAAACTAGAAACAGATTGAAAACGAAATACAAACGAACTTTCTGCGAAATTCCGCAGCTATGCAGACGATCTTTGACTTGTCGTGCAATTTCACTTGTGTCAGCTAGATAAATTTCTTTTCGCATTGTTCGCATAATTTCATCAGCATCCACGACTTTTTTGACATCTCGTGTCTTTTTTTCAATATGACTTTTTCCCGCCTATAAATAAAAAAACATTAAAAATACTAAGTCTTTTCCAAAAATTTCATACTCCAATTCTCAAATGAGATTACAAGACAATGTGAAACACTTTGACTTCTCACATTCATAAACTCATAGTTTACTATCAGAAAATAATCTGTATAAATTAAAATAATAAACCTATTATGTTCATCTGATATTTTATGAGTATTAAATTGAAAGCAAAAAAATAAAAAAGGTAAGAAAGTGCAAAATTTAGCATTAGCTAAATAAATTAACCAGATGTTCTATCTCATTTGCAGATGCCAAATTCTGAGAACTAGTCACATCATTAGTAACATTTTGTCTTGTACTATCGTGCGCTTCATTACTTGGTATTTCCGAAGATTCTAATGAAGCAAAAGCTCCATTCCATTCTAAACACAATTTTTAACAATTTACGTTTCAAACAAATGTTAAAAGCAATTGGACTGCATACAATATTCTTATGATGAGTTTAAGTTCATTGTTAAAATTTGCACTATTGTGAGTCCTTAAAAAGGCTCGAATAAAAAGAATAAATACCGATTTCAGATTTGCAAATCACACTCTGAGCTTCATTTAAGAAAAGCTGCATGCGTATGAATGGCTCTCGCCCCTTCTGCGTCAGCATAGTCCACGGTTTGGGTTTTGCCAAGAGATCAGAAACTGATCCTTGTGAAAGGCCCAGTACATTTTCCCCAAACTGACGTTGAGATATTGAGTTTGAGCAAAGAAAGTCTTTAATCTACAAGTAATAACATTGCGAAAATAAAAAAATTTTCTGAAATTGAAATCTAAATATTAAAAATCATTAAATATGAAAATCTAACCAAAAGTAATGAAAAAATAACCTTTTTGACAATATCTTCCGTATCTAGCACTGCATAACGTTCGAATTCCTCTTGTGTTATTGAAGTCATGCCACTCCTACATTTTGAAACAAATAGGGCTTGTACTGGATTTATAATACCAGTTGTTTCTATTGGTGAACAATTGCCACTAACTGATGCACAACGAGATGGTGATGAGAGAGATTTGGCATTCGGTGTCCCATTCGTAGATTCTAGCTACAAAACTGAATATATCTCGCAAAAAAACTAAGTTCGTCAGGAAAACAGTAACTTTTTCTGACATCATCAATGAAATAATATTCACGCAATAAAGATTTCTCAATAAAATAATAATAGCACACCTTTTCATCTTTACTTTTTACACTTGGAGATCTTGAACCAACTGTTTGTTCCAAATGATATTCCTAAATAATTTTGCAGAACTTTGTTAAAAAATTAAAAAAATAAACAAGCACTGTACAAAATACCAAGATAATATATAAACAAATTATCATGATATCGACTAATGCTTATGCTTCTTGGAAATGAAACTTCTGTAATTAATCATACAAAACTTACTTGTTCTTTTAGCAGTGCTAATTCACGTTTATATATTTTCACAATCTTTTCTTTTGGTATGTCATCATGTCGCCAGCGACTCGTACGCTGTAAAGCTGAATTACCACTACCTCCACTGAATGATGCAGAGAGTCTTTCACGTTGTTTCGACTAGAATTAAAAGTAACTTCATATGTTTCATCTCCTGATAAGCCATTTACACCAGTACACTTTATTCTACAATATTCCAGCATTTTTAAGTTTTATACAAAGAGAATTCCAACAGAAATGCATATACAATATTTTCAGATTGACAAGCTAACTAATAGATAAAATTAATTTACATCTCCTGAAGTAATCCGCGAGAACTGCTTTTGCGCAAGCGATTCAAAAACACCATCGGTATTATATCGAGATACAGCAGCTAATGAAACACTCTGCTGATCCCATAACATCTCACGCGATGGTGCCTCAATTTCAGCCAATCCTGCAGTATAACAATTGTTTATGCAGTCAGTGATAAAAGTACTTAATATTATATTATGGAGACGACAATTGAGTAGAATGTGTAACACTCTTTTAAAAAGAAATGTAAAAATGAATCTTTACCAATTGGTTGCGTACGACGTGGTGAAATGTTACAAAGCAGTTCAATGGCTTTGGCATCTGAGACCCATCCATACATGCGACGAAATGCTTCTCTCCCTTTGTCAGTAAGTTTGTTCCAATGTCTCGGTTTCGACAGCAATTCACTGAGTGATCCTTGTGACTATAAGTTTAATTTCGTTATAAAGCAAAAACGAATGAAAAATGTTTTTGCAAACTCCATTCTAGTTTTAAATTTTTAGCTTTATTCCATTGTTTACAAAGTGGTAATGATAATGACAATGAAACAAAAGCAAAAATTTAAAACTAAAATAATTTGCTTCCAATGATTTCGTAATTACTTATAATGTCCATGTTTCACAGTTATAAATTAAATGAATGAAAACCAAAATATTCCACTTATAACTGGCCTTATAAAACAAATCCCAAGTAAGTAAAAATAAAACTATGGAATCAAGTACCTTGACTACCTGGTTCATGACGTACTTTGCAAATAAACGTTGCCCAATATTGTAAGTGATCATTAAAGTCTTGCACTGTTTTGCAATTTCAGTTGTATTCAAAGCTTTCGGTCCTAGTTCAACGATATTTTTGGCGACAATTTCCTGCAAAGCCTCAATATATTATGAATATCAGCAAAACATAACACAACGTCAATTACTAATTAAATCTTCTTATCAATTAAATTCTAAAAGATCCCGTTATGCATAACAGTCGTCACCCAGATAACCAATTATGTCTTGAATGCTTTAAAAAATAGCAGACATAACGTTTTTACAAAAAAATATTTTGATAAAAAGAAAAAAGCTAAGATAAAACCTGTAGTTCATTGTAAGTCCTGAGTTCAACAGATGTTTCATGTAAGTGGGATGTATTTGTCGGATAATAATTTTCCAGTTTCGGAGTAACATTTGAAGAAGTAGCCGAACACTACAACACATTTTATAAAAACAGCAAACAAGTGTGTTTAATAAAAATAATTCAGACAAAGTACTTATGAATTAACCAACAGAACTTTTCAGCACTATTTCCAAAAATAAAATAAAGCGCAAAGTAGTTATTACTCTACAATTGCAGTTTTAAATAGTGTGTTAAGTTCAAAATACCATAAATAAGTTAAGAAGATTTGAAGCGCGATGTACATTAACTTCTGAATCAGCATTTTTAGCAACATTCGTTGTTTTCTGCTTGTTCTGCAATAATTTAAGGCGTGAAAATAAACTTGATAAAAACCTATTGTTGAATAAAATGATTCAAAAGATATAGTTCTTGTTTTGAACGTTAGCCTTATGAAAAAGAGAAGGAATATCATGAATGCGAAGTAAGGCGCAAAATT